AGTGCTGCCTACAGCTTGGCTTGGCCAATAATGAGGAAAAAAAGGTAATTTCAGGGATTACAATAGGCGAGGAGACATTGGAGGTATATTGGTAATTCAAGGGGATCCTGCCATTATCAAGAAATGTGGCAAAGAGATTGTTAGGGGCACATCTTAAAAGTGCTGCATTTTGGGACCCCTCTCCTGGCAGTAGATGCCTTGATGTTGCCTTTAAAAAGGAGAGTTGCAAAATGCCCCCCTTGAGGCCACCCCTAATTTCCTCCTCACTGCCAGCACCCTAAACCTCCTCACTGTCAGCCCAACTCTCCTCCTCACTACCAGCAACTCAAACCTACTTCTCCATCTCATATTTCTCTTCAGCCTCCTGCTGCATCATGGCATTCCACATGCTGGTGGACAACAGGGATGGCCTTCTGTTCATAAAAATGGCAGCTAGCCTATGGCCTTCTGTAAAAAATAAGGACCGGTATCTGACATTGTGTTGCAGCACAGACCATAAACTGTTCGAAAGAGGTGTTTGGCAAAGCAGGCACTAAGATTCTGGGCATAGAGGTAATTTGTGGACAATTTTTTATTGGAAGATAAAACCTGTCTTGTCTCTTTCACGTTCCATCCTGACATCAGGCAAAGTCTATATTTTGAATTTTTGGGGAATAGTTAGGGCTATGAGGATAGAAAGGTGTGTGTGTGTGTGTGTGTGTGTGTGTGGGGGGGGGGGGGTTAAAAGTGTTTTTGTGCACTCTGTTTTTACGTTTTATTACACTTACAACAATGCAGTGCGGGCACTGCAAAAAATGCTCACGAAAAAAAACTATACTTTAAATCTGTCATTTTAAGTTGTAATGAATCAGATTTAGATGTTGCTGTATTTAAGTCAACCTGTAAGTAGAAGTTCCAAAATCAATTGAACATCTAAAGTATATGATTCCAGAGCATGGTATTACTGATGTTGTCCATGTGAATTATAAAATCACATACTGATTAAAAGCTTGTTCCAAGCATGTAATTTAAAGGATTGGTGTTTTTCCCATATCACCCTCAACGTCACTTTAAAAGGAAAGCCCTCTCCCTAATATACAGTAATTTTTAAAAAAAACATTTAGGATTGGATCATGTACACCATGAGAGTACCTGTGTCCTTTTTTGTCAACACCTTGCCTATTATCTTTCAAAATAGGCAGCATGTAGTACCAAGGATAGCCTCTATACTTCAATAATGTTCAACTTTAGGTTTAGATTTTTCAGACTTCATGCAGGATTCAACAAACCTCCCTCAAAATTAAACCCAAGCAGATTAGCTCATTCCTAATTCTTACATAAAAATTAATGATGATAGGAGTTACAGTTGCAAAATAGATACAATAAATGTTTTCCTCTTAGTAAGAATTTGAATTTACATTTTTGAAAATAATTTTTCCCAGTAAGTATTCACAAATTTACATTACATGAATTGAGTGAAATAGAAGAAACCGACAAAGGATGTACAAATCTACAATTATACTGGTCCACCCATGTAATTACATCTGTAACCAAAGTGGCAGAATCAGATTAAGAAAAGATAACCAGGACTGCATAACACTGACATTTTTATTAGAATTCATTTGTAACAAATGGAACTTGTGTCAGCAAAGAACTGATTTTCAGACACACTTCTTTCGCCACCGATGTAACGAAGTAAGAAAATAAAAAGCACGCCTTTCATCTTGTAAAACATTTACGCGTACTACTAAGTAGAGGTAATTGTATTTTTAACAAGCCATTTTACAAGTTTATTTTTTATAACTTTTTTTTTCAGTCTATGCATCCAAAACAAGAGCAAAGAACACAATTTGTATTATTCTTGTATAGACACTCCAAGCTTGAATGGCAAAGCCACAAAACATATGTAAAAGGTGGAATTGTCAAACTTTTATAGAACTTTTTTTGGAGTATCGGGAAGATTTTTTTTTTTGTTAGCAAGGCTTGGCATCAAAATGGAAATAAAGGGAGAAAAAAAAGCATCTGCACTTTTTTCAACACAAAACCATATTTTTTAACGTATTGTGTTATTTACACAGATGTGGATTCTATAGCACAATTGGTTGTTTTTTGTTGCTGTTTAAAGATGGATTCAAGTAATAACATTACTGGGTGTAGAATCAATAGGGCAGTGCATAGTACAAAGTTTTAGAAAGTGCAATTCTCCCCAAAGGGCCCACCTCAAAGTCCTCATCTTCTTCAATACTAACCAAGTGTTAAAGAAAAAAAAAAATAACCAAAAAAATTGAGAGCTAAAATGTAGTTCTATACAAATTGTGTTTATGTTTTCTTTCAATGTAACTAATTACAAAATTATACATAACTATACTAATATAGGTAAATAATAGCACCGTACCAATAATGCTTAATAAATGCATTTCTGCCTTTGATGTATTTTGCAGATAAAGATGCTTTTTTTAATTAAGTATCATGATAATACAGACAATACACAGAAAGTGGAATGCACATCAATGATTGGAACTAAATCTACATTAGGTAAATGAGAGAATGGGTTTAAGCAAAAACAAATGTTTTTGTAACACAATGTTCTAAAACATTTAGTTCTGTTGCAGTGACTATAAAAATATGATCTATGCAATAATAAATATTTAAAGAGATGATATAACTTCTATTTTTGATTGCAATTGCTTAACAAACACATTTAGAACAATTCCATGAATACTGTTCAGACAAGAAAAATAATAATAAAGATACCCCAAGAAAAGCACATTCTTTTTTTATGTTGCTTTGATATATGTCTTTGAATCCGAGGTAGCCTTCCATTATTATTAACAATTACAAAAGTGCTATGACAACCCTTCACAGAGGCTATTTTTCAAAATGACTGCCAAGCATGAAGTGAGCACATGGATAAAAAAACTGCACCTGTGATGGATCCAGAAATTCAAACATTCTCAAACCTGCTTGATAATACTTTGTTTTATATTGTTTATGTAAGACAGCTGGCTAAAATGAGAAGTGAATCAACACAATGGCACAATATATTTTATGTAAAAAAACAAGTTACTGTAATAAAGTGCCTACTTGTGCTGTTTAAATGGCAAGTCTCATTCCAAAATGCACTCCAAAAAGTGCACTGTTAGCCTTCACCCTTTGGAAGCAACCATATTGTTGGATGAGTTATTAATCATAAGAACACAATTTACTAGCACCCACATGCTGTGGCCAACCAATATTCTGAGCAGTGCAGCCAATCAATTCATTAGCACCTAGTGACATTACAAAGGCACACCAAACACCAGATCATTTTCCAGTTGCTAGATCCTACTGAAATGATAAGCTACATTAAACACTGTTTTAACTGCAAATAAGATGGTTCCACTGTTGGCAGGTAGCAGGTAAAGTTTTGTGTTTGATAGCAGAAAGCTGATAGAGAAAAGAGCTCTTGCTACTGTAGAAGTGCTAATAATAATTACTCATCTTTTATATACTGCTCTCACTAGAAAAAAAAGGATTAATGTGACATAAAAGAAGTCATTTAAAAATACATATTTCTAAAATAAAAGATATATGACATTATGGAAAGCAGACTGAGAAAGTCCAAAAAAATAATGTAGCTTAAAAGCATTAAATATAAGGCACTCTAAATGCAAAAAAAAAAAAAAGCATTTCAAAACTGCCATGATGCAAAATCTACATTATTTCTAAGCAGAGTATAATATACAAGATGGTTTATTATTGCACTACAGGGATAAAAATATAAAGCGGCTTCATAAAATACATACATTGGTGAGCACATAGAAATGTGTCAATTTGGGCGGCGAACCTAGCATATCACTGATGTGCATTCCTCATTTCTTTCCAAATAAATGCCAAAAAGAATAAACATTGAAAATGCAACCTTCAGGTTGACATGAGATGGTCTTATGGATTCCCCACACTGATTAACAAAACTAAAACATGGAAGAATATATATATATATATATATATATATATATATATATATATATTTATTATATAGATAGTGTATGTGTGTAAATATATGTGTGTGTATATATGTGTGTATTTATATACATATACTGTATATATAATTTTATATATATACTCAGGTTTACAGCAGCTTTATACTTTGCGACTCCCTGTTGATTCCAAGCAAGATGAAAAAAAAATAGCTTGTCTTGTTGCAAAAATAGATATGTTAAAAATGTCATAAAGTAACTGGAAATAAAGGCTGTGATTAAAATAAAAATAAAGGGATGATTTAATGTGAGGGTGCACCAGAATGTGCATAATTTTAAATGTTATAGTGTCTCTAATGAGAATTATTACATATAACAGTTCTACCGCATAAAAAAAAATACAATTCTTGATCGAAAATTAACAGTTATGCAATGTTTTATTTACTTCTTATAAATTTTTTGTTAAAAAAAAAGAAAAGAAAGAAAAGAAAGTTTACACAGTTAATAATGAAGCACAGGTCAGCAGTATCTTTACAATACTAAAAAACTAAATAAATGACTTTGATTTTCTTTAGACACTTCCCACCCATTTGTTTTACTAATGCGTTATCATGATTGTTGATAGAGAAGGGTTGGTATCGCTGCAAAGACTGCACTTGTCTTAGGAAGGCGAAGCTGACGTATGTAACATCTTGCTGTTGTATTCCTAAGCTTCAATCTTTGAACACTCATGTGGTCTTGGAGAGGATAATGTTTCTCATTTCACGTCTTTCCTTCTATAGCATGTGATTCCTTGAGACATGTTGGTGAAATGAATCCTTCGGCTGTTTCACCAGTCTCAATTTTTATATTTTGCTTAGGTTATTGAACTGTGTATTCTTGGTCCACCCAAAAAATAGTTTGTATTTTTCTATTTTTAATTTATTTTTGTCAGGTTCCAATTATTGTAATTGGTCTTTACCTAGGAGTTATCAAACACTTCCCAAGCACACTTTATGGCTCAGAGGAGGCTCTGTGGATCTTGAAGGGCCTGCAGGTGAAATCCAGCATGGGCCAGAACTTCTACGTTGCATAGTGATCAAAGCTGCCCAAATACTCAAGCCCTGCTCGATAGCAGAACTGATACTGGTCCTACAAAAGAAGAAAATGCTTTTTAAGACAAATGACATATGAGAGCAAAAAAAAATAGTGTGTCACAGTTTACAAGCTTGGCTTGATCAGAGCATAGTAGGTTAAACCTCTCAAAAGGAAATCACTGCTGACTGTTGTTGGATACTGCACTTGTGCATATTTTATATTCTATTAAAATATATAATTTTACTGTGATGTCAGAGCTTTTTTGTTATTATGAATTCCTCCCTTGCAGTTATTCAGAATACATAGTTAATGTATTTCCACTGACTTCCCTTGCGGAAAAATGCAGGTTTGGTGATTTCTCATTAATAACTGTCCTGTGAAGCTGAAGTCCAGGTAAAATTGGTAAATACACAGATGAAATACAATATAAGAGCTGGTTTATTTGTCAAAGAATTTGTATTTCTGATATTTGCAATGCAGGAGATGTGATAATTTCTCCATTTCAGTAACACTTACAGATCTTGTCCCCCTCCTAGCCTGTGACTATATATTAAAAGGAGGAACAATAGGCTAATGATCTAATCGGTCTGCCATTCTACTTTCTCCTATCAGCATGTTCACATGGGAATTGCAGCACAAGTGACTGGTTCCTTGTGCTGCTTCTCCTTCTCCATGCCTGAGCTTTGCTATACCGTGAGGGAGATTTACTACAGCTGACGTACACATAATCTGGTGCAGCTGCGCATAGTAACCAATCAGCTTCTAAGTTTTATTGCCAAAGCTTAATTGAACAAACTGAAGTTAGGATCTGATTAATTACTATACACAGCTGCACCAGATTATGTGTGCACCAGCTTTAGTAAATTCCTATCAACAGTGATTCGTGGGAAGCTAATAGCAAGTATAATTAAGGAACTTCCACTATTTGCATTTAAACACACATGTTTAATGATGTATTAATGAAAGCAAAGCTACATTAATTCAAGTTATTCATAGCTGCCTGTATTTCAGCTTTAATAAATCAGTTCCAACAAATACTTGCATTTTGGGGTTACCAGTGCTAAACATGCTTACTGAAATGAAAAGCTGAAAAAGTCTGATACAGGGGAAAAAAAAATATTTCACAGGAATAGAAAAAGATTAGAGTGGAATATGTATCTTTAGCTATTGTTGTTTAGTGTTTTCTCATGCTGACTAATATGCCAGTATGGGCATTATTCAATAGAACAGAAAACATAAGGGCCAGAGGAGATAATGCTTACATTGTAAAATACACTGTACTTTTAATGCAATAAAACTTGTCAAAAGTGAGCATCTTTGTTCATTTTTACAGTGCAACCTCCAGAGAGACATTCATTTATATTTTCATAATGTACTTCAGAGCCCACTGAGTTGTAATGTAAGGAAATAGGCCTCATTTTGCAAGCACTTGCAGTTTTAGAAAACAGAAAGTGTGTCAAGACTAATGGAGTTTACACTTCAAGGTTTTCAGTAAATATAACTTGTCGATCTCACTTGATTATCCATCCAGAATTGGTGCTCTGTGATAAACTCACTACATTAATTCAGTAAAGCTTTACAGCCAGCTCTGGATGAATATAGCTTTCTGTATCAACAAGTACTTTGGAAAATAAGCTGTTGCCTGCAAAAATCTCAACAGTTATCTGAAGCTAGTACTAGCCTGTACAGTGCAGTTTCTCTGGAGGTTCTATCTGTATGCTGGGAAAATGAATAATGTGCACTTTTTGACAGTTTTAATGCATTAAAAGCACAGTGTGTTCTACAGTGTAAGCACTATCTCCTCTGGCCCTTATTTTGGCAAGGTAATACATGCCAGGTACCCAAAGATGACAGCCCTGACCCCATCCATAGGTATCTAACATGTCCTCAAGGCAGGAGATAGGGAAGAGCATGACATTACCGCAGAAGGTGGTAAAAAAAAGTCTCAGGGGAGCAAAAGGCCTGGCCCCCAGGATACTTTGTTCCTATGTAGCATAAACAGGAGGGCTCCCAGGTAGAATGCAGAGGGAGAAAAAGCACAACTACTACTGTTAGATGTAATGGAGGTGAGGAGGTTCTGTTTTTACAAAGGTACAACGCCCCTTCATAGGAAAAGAGCCTCTTTTAGCACAAGGGAGGGCTCTGCATGGGAAAGAAAACCCAAGGAAGGCCCCAGAGGGGCACAGAACAAAATAACAAAGAAGAGCAAGTTCTTGCATAAAGGAGTTCGTAATTGCAGAAGTTAATTCAATGGATGTGCAAGGTCTCACAAAGACCTTCCAGGCAGCAAGGGTTAGTTGTTTCCATTGATTCCAAAGTTGTTGGATGAGGAATAGGAACAGTTTCTGAGATAGGGCTCCCTTATTATTCCAATGGGTGAGAACCACCTTACAAGATAGATTAAAGAGTATGTGGGGAGTGGTCTGCATGCCCCCCAAGAAGGAAGGGTACTAATGAATATAAAGGGATTAGAAATGTTGGGGATCTCTAGGTGAGAGTCTGTAACACAGTCACATAATTGAAAGTGTTTGGTGGGATGGGCAGACAAATGTTGAGGTATCTACAGACTGCATGTGAAGGGAGACAAGCAGATAGTGCATGGTACAGATCATTGACCTTTATATGAAGAGGGAGACCATAAAAAGACTTAAGGCAGAGTCTTAGGCTTAAGGGCCAGGAAAGCCTGGGTGGAAAAGCGCGTCAATGCCCTGTTGACAAAGTCCGGATGTGACAAAATGCGTCCGGGGCACGTGACGTAGTGACGCTCTTCCGGAAGTGCCGTAGCGGCCATCTTTGATCCTGGAACACGCGGTTGTGTTTGTGTTTGTCCTGGAATCCTTCACATATGGTTAAGCTTATCTGGGGAATCTACCACATATGACTTATTCCTCCTCCAGAGTGGTATGGTGAGGATACCCAAATACTACTGAGGAGGGGCATGATTTTGGAATCATTTTCTCTGTATGGAAGCTGATCTCATCATATTTTAATGTAAGTTGCTATAATAAAGTGTTATTATTATTTATAATATACACTGATCCCTGGTCTGTTTATGAGGTCTGTGGGAAGTGGCTGGAAAGGCTGAAACAAAAGGCTGGAAATAATCTCATCTATATGATGGTCCCTATGAAATCATTGTGAGGGTAATTATGCACTCCTGATATTTGTGTGCAGTGGATTGATTTTTAAGGCATAGGAATTTCTTCTATTTCACGGTTGCTGTGGCACGGTAGTTTTTGCTTGCATGTAACACGTGTGGCACTTTTTATGATAATATTTGGGATAATACACTATGTTTAGTTTTTTTTCTTTGAGGTATATGAAGATTTTTCTTGGATTATATTAATAATATTGGTTGGAAACACGAAGATGAGGACTAACACAATTTTTTGTGACTTTTATTTTGGACTTTGATGTGGACTTTATTTTGGGACTTTAAACACTAAATTTAGGTTTATTGTAATCAAGTTTGCTTTAAGATTGATTTATTAATGTAATAAAGATAGCCTCCATACATAGGGAGGAATATAGTGCCAGTGAACTGGGGTGGATAAACCAGGCACTGACTTTCTTGAAGGAGTCTGCCCGCAAAACTAAAGGTAATGGAGATGTAATCAAAGAGTAGCAATGGCAGCATGTTCATAGTGTCAGTGATAGACAAATGTCATGCTGGAGGGCAAGTAATATACTGTATATAACGATATGAGGATTAGACCCAGATATACTGAGAAATGCAATAAAAAAGATAAGATAGAATGAGTCCAGAGACGGGTAACACAAATGGTGAAAGGTCTGGGGGATAAAACATATCAAGGAATTTAACATGTAGAGTCTGGAGGAAAGAAGGGAAAGGGGAGACATGATTGAAACCTTTAAAAACATCAAGGTGTGCATAAGGTTCAGGAGGGCAGTATTTTCAACATGAAACCAAAATCAGGAACTCGGGGACATGACCTTAAACTAACTGGAGGAAAGTTCAAAACTAATCTCAGAAAGTACTATTACACTGAAAGAGTAGTTGATGCTTTGAATAAACTTCCAGCAGAGGTAGTGAGCTAGTCAACAGTAAATAGCTTTAAATATGCTTGTGACAAGCATAGATCTATACTCTCTAAAAAAACAAAAAGAAGAAACCCCCCCCCCAAAAAACAAAAAAAACTGGCAGACTCGATTGACCACTTGGTTTTTTTCTGTCGTCACTTTCCACGTTGCTTTGTAACGTTAAGGGAGAAGCCTGGGAAGGGTGCAATGCCACCTGCAGAGGGAAGTGAAAGCATTGGTGTTTGGGCCTATGTTCAGATATTTGGCTCATGGGCTTTTTATAAAAAGGTCCCCAAGGCACCCTGGTACATGAAGGCTCAGGGTCTGGTTAAGGGGATAATAATATAACACCACAAGTTGTGTGTATGTTAAGCAATGTGAAAACCACATTGAGGTTTAGAGATATGGGGAGTAAAACCACATCACAATATGATTGATATTAAAGTTAGAAGCTCTCATATGAAAGATACAAAAGTAGGGTTAGAGAAGAGTATGCAAAAGTCACTCTGCTGGGGTAGATTTAGCGACAAGTCTACAGGAGACCAATCAAGAAGCTAGTTACTACAGTAAATATTTTTGGGAGCACATGGAGTCAGGTCTTATTGACTAGATAGATGTCACAATGCAGGATTTTAAAAAACCTTGACATCCACGTCAAGGGTCCATCCACATTACAAAGTGTGCATTAAGCACAGGTTTCTGCATGCTGTGTTATTTTCCTTTTTAAAATTTACTGTAATTTTTTTTTTTCAAATAATGACAATTAATCTCACATGGGCATTGTTAGTTAACGGTCAACTCACCTCTGTCTGTACCATTGCAGGTCGCTGTGTTCTCAGCATTTTGACAGTCTGGAAGATATCTACAACACCTTCATATCTCATCCTTTCCAATACAATACTCAGAGTTATGAATACTCCAGTCCTTCCTACACCAGCACTGTTACAAAGACAGAAGAATGTTAATAGATTGCTGGAAGTGTTTAAACGAATTACAAGCAAACCAAAATAATAACAATATAATATGTGACTTATTTCACACACTGTTAATAATTTTTGCTGCCCAAGTCATACTTTAGCTTTTATGAACAAATTCTGCTAATTGCTTAAAATTTGTTAGAAAGACTACAAGATTACTGAAGATACCATCAGAAGAAGAAATGATACTGCATTATTAAAAACACTCAGGCTCCATGCACACTAGTGTTTTTGTAAGCTCCTAGAAGATATTATCAGCATATTTTTTATGCTCCTAGAAGCTAAACAGTATTATCCTATGTGTCCATGTACACTATTTTAGGCTATTAGCCTTTTTTGACCTGCAGCATCTAGGAGCAGAAAAAATTATTCTTGTAGAGTTTTTTGGAGCATTTTTCCAGCAGAAAAAAAACGCTAAATGCTCCTAAACTCTACAAAAATGTTTCTAATAGCTTTTTTCTATCTTTTTTTATTCTCTTTGTGTACTGTAAACAGGCTAATGAAACGCTAATGCTCCTAAAATGCTACCAAAAATGCTATTCCGAGTGTTTTTTTAGCTTAAAAGAAAGCTACTGTGTATAGAGCCTAAAAGAGCATTATTATAAGCCCTCACTGACCTCTGTAGCTGTGGGAAAATTCAACTTTAAAGTTCACTACAGACGTACTGAAATTTCAGCTCTTCCCCACTTTTTTTCTTGCAGTAGGGACTTGCCTTCCAGCCTTCTAATATAAAACAGCAGGTGCTGTAATCTTGTTTTAAACCTCTTTTACTGCTTGTTAAGAATATGCAATTACTTTAATATTCACAGTCTGGACACAGGTGTGCTTGAATGTGAATTAACTGGCAAGCACTATGTGAGAACCAAAAGAGAAGAGGATGTTCACCTAGCAAAGAGAATGTTCACATTGCAAAGTGTTTGTGCACTTTGCAAAGTGAATGGTAGTAAATGATGTGCAGCTGTGCTCACTTTGAAAACCCTAAGTTTTGCTAGCATGACTGAGTAATTAAAGTGAACACAGATTCACCTTATTTATTACTATTCATTTTCAAAATGAACAGATACTTAGCAATATTAACAGATGTAAAGACATAATTCCTTTAATAAAACAACCATGCTGTGTACAAAAAGTTGGCAACGTTTTAAAGTTAAAAGTATAACAATCCAAAACTCCTGCTCACCACAATGATTATATGTGATGTTGCGGTACCCAAAGTTATTACCCCACATAGAGAAAAAAAAAAGCTGCACTTTATTGACATTAATAACTATATGAATCCACCACTGAGTAATAAGCAGTTATAGCATAAATGATCTCATCCTGAACAGCAAACTTGAAAATTGTGCATGCATTCACTGAGATAAATGCTAGTAAAACTGCAATGAATAGTGCTTGCGAGGCTGCCAATCAAAGAGCAAAAAGTAAAACTAGTCCATTTACAAGTCTTCAGCTTTAGGAAATCTTGAATCTCCTTCCAAAGAAAATCAATCCATGCACTGAAGGTGTTCACTCCTCCACCGTGTGCTCAAAAGGGCACACTCGCGCCTCCTTAGTTGGACCTTTAAATGATAAAATGTCAATTTTGGCAAGTTCTCCTTTAATTAGCTGGGATAGGCTGCACTGGAGGAATATAAACTTGCCAACCAGCAAAAAGTACTCAACCAGTAAAGAGACAGCCCATCCAGCAAAGACATAGTCCATCCAGTAAAGAGACAGCTCAACCAGTAAAGAGACAGCCCATCCAGCAAAGAGACAGCCCGGTCAGCAAAGAGACAGCCCAGTCAGCAAAGAGACAGCCCATCCAGCAAAGAGACAGCCCGTTCAGCAAAGAGACAGCCCATCCAGCAAAGAGACAGCCCATCCAGCAAAGAGACAGCTCATCCAGTAAAGAGACAACCCATCCAGCAAAGAAACAGCCCATTCAGCAAACAGACAGCTCGTTCAGCAAAGAGATAGCCCATCCAGTAAAAAGACAGCTCACCCAGCAAAGAGACAGCCCAAACTACCGCCAAGCTGTAGCAGTATGCCGGTGGATGAAGGAGAGAGGCCGCTGTTGTCCCTTCAGTCCAGATCGTTCAGTAAAGAGACAGCCCATCCAGCAAAGAGACAGCCCATTCAGCAAAGAGACAGCCCATTCAGCAAAGAGACAGCTCACCCAGCAAAGAGACAGCCCAATCCACCACCGAGCTGTAACAGTGTGCTGGTGATGAAGGAGAGAGGCTGTCGTTGTCCCTTCAGTGCGGCTGTGTGTAGCGGCCTGTCATGGCCTTCGGCGGCATTTCCTGCCCATCGCTGAAGCCATCACTGAGCAGCAGCCGCAGTTTGTGTTAGTTCTGTTCAGGCTGCAGTCACCGCTTACCTCCTGCTGTGCGGCCCAGTCATCAACAGGCCACTCTTCTTCAGAGTGTCTGCCCTGGCCCACCGGGCAAATGTCCTGTGTGCCCTATGGCCAGTCCGTGCCTGCTCTGCGTGAGTAGACAAGAGCAGGGATTCTCCCTGCTGCTCACTGATGTAATGAAGGCTGACAGCTCAGAATCCTCTGTACTCGAGCCAGGCTGCTATGAGCGATCTCTCCTCTGTAACTGCTCCACCCTAAACGTTACACCATTGACTTCTAGAAGTGCTCAATGGTTCAACTAAAGAGGTAAGTCTGCCCTCTTGAGTCCACGATGGAGGAGTGAACACTTTCATTGTACAGACTGATTTTAATTGGAAGAGGGATTCAGTATTTTCTAAAGTAGAAAACGTGTAAATTGACTAGTTTTGTTTTTTGCTCTTTGGCACCCTCAGAAGCACTATTCATTGCTCTTTTACTAATATTTACCCCAATTATCAGATGCACTCTTTTCAAGTTTGTTGTTTGGGTGAGATCATTTATGTTATAACTGTTATAACTGTCATTTATGTTATAACTGCTTATTACGCCACAACATTGGTTTACATAGTTATTAATTGTATAGCTGTGCAACTTTTAAAAGTTATTGTATGTATATTGTATAAGCTGAAGCTGTTACTGATTCAAAAATCAAACCATAATTTTCTTTGCACAGGTTTGGATATTTAAAGTGAACACTATTTCATCTTATTCACTTTACTAAATAAACATTCTCTATTCCTCTAGTGCATCAATCCCAGTGTAATTTTTAAAACGTCAATAAAACCTGTAAATCCCTCTTTGGCTTGTTTCACTAAACAAAAATGTAAAAAACAACAGCATATTCTCCAGAGTGTGGAATGATGCCTACAAAATTGTATCAAACAATTAATTTGCACCCAACAAAGTATTATATGCTGCTGTTTTAATTAAAGAAGGAAAGCATGTCAGTTCCAAGACATTAATAATTTACCCACAGGCTACTGTCCAGTCCAAGTCATGAGATAACCAAAGTGATTTATGAAACCAGAGAGAACAGATAACCAATGCTTCCAGTAGACAATATAAATGTTACCTTTGATTTCTTTTACCAACAAAAGCAAATCCAGAAAGGATTAAACTTGCCACTGGCTGTTTCTCTAGCAGACAGCGAAGTTCTATCATGTGTGTTATGTACCGTTTTATGACTATCTCGCAACCTTGCCAACACCTTTCAATTATAAGACTTACATGTAAATCTTACTTTTTATTATAGGAAAAAACTTTGTTAAAACTGTGTGATGTCCCTAATGTTCATTCAACACACTTTCAATGTAAACCAAGCATATTAAATGTGCACCTTTCTGTGTTGTTTAGCAGAACAAATATTATTTCTCTGGAGTGTAACTAAATATATAAACACATCTACTCCGCGGGAATTCACATTATTTAATAAAAAAAAAGTGCATTCATTAAAAACTCAGAAGACACCTCTAGTCTGATGGAGAAGGTGCTGGTGGCATTAGGATAGGGGGCTTGAATATTGTGCTAACCACTAGTTTTTCCAATCTGTGATCAGGAACTACCAATTAAATAGGTTTATATTAAGTGTATCTAAACCCAAGCACAAAAATGTGATATACTGCAGATTACCAGTCCTTAGACATGAAGGCTGCATTACTTTTCATTTCTTTAGATTTTTTACTTTATTTTCACCTGGTGTTCCTATAAATTACATGCTGTCTGTCTTAGAGTGATAATGCTCACCCACTATATTGGATCTATGGAGAAAAAGGACTACAAAACACCTGCCCCTGATCTATTCTCTATAACATAGAGAAAAAGGGTTCTATAGCCCTCCAAAATATTTAGGAACTATTCTAACTAACAGCAGTCAGCACAAGCTGAGAGGTGAGGATGGTATTAGCTCTAAAGATTTATTGCAGAACCAACAAGTATTGTTTGCACTTATTTAACAAATATAACAAAATGCTATCAATAGTATATTTTAAAGGTCAAAAGGTAGGAAATAACAGGAATTTATTGTTAGGGTTAACATACACTTTAAACTGTTGGTTAGCACTTTGATATTTCTGGGTTTTGAATACTTTCATTGGACCAACATCTGATAAAAGACACCTTTACTGGGAGAATTTGAAGACTGCCCTTTTAAAAATTACATTTGCTTCTAATACTGAGTATATATTTAAGAATTTGCATAAATTTTACAGAAAAGGTAGTGGGGTTGATTTAATAAAAAAGAATAGAAACGTTTTACCTACAAAGTGAACATTCACTTAGCTTAGTAAATAAGGTGCAGCCCCCATCAGTCATCCAACCACGAGCAAGTAAACATTTTGTTTATTTTTTGCTCACTTTGCAAAACTATAATTTTTCCACTCCGTTATCACTATTTGACATTGATGTATTAGATATAATCTAAGGTTAACTACAGCATAAAAATATTATCATATATTCATAAATGCCTCCTTGCTGTGCAATTTGAATGTAAGTAAACTGTTTCCTGTCCATAATCTATAGATAAAGTTCCCCTGCATGTCTTTTACTGAGGTTGTGTCGTTAATCTATGTCATCCATTTGACAGCTACCAGCCAAATGTGTGCAGTTCCTAGCTGTCAAACCTGGCTGCCAATGACAGTTTTGGTTCCTGCTAGCAATCATGTGATAACTATGTCAATAATGTTTGCAAAGACCCCTGCAGTTTGTAGATGTCAATATACTTTTGTTTAATACTGTAACTGTCCATTATTATATTGTAAAGAAAAATAGAGCGCCTTGATTATTTGACAGCCTATACCTAAAAACACAGCCACGTTCTATTTAAACATTGTAATGAGTAAAATATATATATATATATATATGTATTTTTAAACAATCTAAAAATCATTTAGAAAAGAAAACCAGTCATAAAAGTATAGTCCAGATGAGCAATGCATACTGGTGCTCCTAAATTTGGCCTAGGCGTAACTCATGATATAGTTGAAGTGCTCCTTAAACATACCTGCAATGGACAGATATTGGCCCATCTTGACCAAACTGTTCTTTTGTTTTATGCACTTGTCCTATGAAGTCGATAAACCCTTCTCCGGACTTTGGCACTCCTTGTTCTGGCCAGTCAGTGAACTGGAACTGTCTTACTGTCCGTGACTGGCCATCCTGTAAAAAGAGTTTATTTTTTTTTGTAAAACTCTGACAAACACCAGAATGTTCACCCATACATTAATGACCAGATACAATAGAATGTAATCCTTCCATAATTTGTGAACAGACCATAGAGACTATCTATGGTTTATTATAATGTTTCTTATGAAAATTCTCAGCAAAATCTGTTAAGAAAATAACATTTTCTATGAGGAATAAGTGGACACAAACAACTATGACCACATTGGGGAAAACTAAAAAGTTTTCAGAAGGAAAAAAATAGCACTGTATCTATAGTAAATGTCAATTAAAATAGTTGTTGGATTTTTAATTTATTTAATTAAATTAGTTCATATTTTATCTCTTTTGTTGTGCTCACAATTTTTACTTAATATTGATAAAATCTTGTTAGTGGTTCTATAATAAACATTGGTGTTCAAGACTCTTGTAAACCCAGTATACTGCTGGAACATATATTGAATAAACATAATTGGAAATGTGAGTTAAGAAGAACAACATAATGCAGAGAACTCTAATTTGCCTTGTGAAACATCCATGAATTATTTTCAAATAGCATTTTATAAAATTGTTGCGCTATTTGTTAAATACAACACAAACAAGATGCCTACTCATGTAATATTATAGTACACAGAAATGTAATATGAACACTACTGCGCTATTATTGATTTAGTTTGATAACAATTAGCTTCTCCTTTTGTTGAAGTGAGCAGAAATGAAAATTTACAATCTTAAAATATATTGTGCAGTAAAGACAGAGCAGAATGAGTGAAGGTTTGAATCAATAATATGTTCTTATTTGGTTGGCCTTTGTTTACAGTAGGGCAGAACCAAGTAACACTCACACAAGGTGAAAAGGATTACAGGTCTTGCCACATTAAGTTTAAATTGGTTGGGAATAAAAGGAGATAAGTCTTAGACCAATTCTAAATGCATGAGATGAAAGGTGGAACACATCAGAAGACAAGCCACAAACACTGTCTCATATTCTGTTCACAAATGAGAATACATACACTATATTGCCAAAAGTTTTGGGACACCTGTCTTTACACACACATGAACTTTAATGGCATCCTAGTTTTAGTTAGGGTTCAATATTGAGTTGGCCCACCCTTTGCAGCTATAACAGCTTCATCTCTTCTGGGAAGACTGTCCACAAGGTTTAGGATTGTGTCTATGGCAGTGGTTCTCAACCTTTCTAACGCCGCGACCCCTTAATACAGTTCCTCATGTTGTGGTGACCCCCAACCATAAAATTATTTTCGTTGCTACTTCAGAACTGTAATTTTGCAGTGGGAGGAATAGTGCCCCATCATTGGTATCAGTGGGAGGACTAGCGCCCCATCATTGGTATCAGTGGGAGGAATAGTGTCCCATCGTTGGTATCAGTGGGAGGAATAGTGCCCCATCACTGATGTCAGTGGGAGGAATAATGTCCCATCGTTGGTATCAGTGGGAGGAATAGTGTCCCGCCATTGGTGTCAGTGGGAGGAATAGTGCCCCATCATTGGTATCAGTGGGAGGAATAGTGCCCCATCATTGGTATCAGTGGGAGGACTAGCGCCCCATCACTGATGTCAGTGGGAGGAATAGTGTCCCATCGTTGGTATCAGTGGGAGGAATAGTGCCCCATCGTTGGTGTCAGTGGGAGGAATAGTGCCCCATCATTGGTATCAGTGGGAGGAATAGTGCCCCATCATTGGTGTCAGTGGGAGGAATAGTGCCCCATCATTGGTGTCAGTGGGGGGAATTTTGCTCCATCATTGGTGTCAGTGGGAGGAATAGTGTCCCATCATTGGTGTCAGTGGGAGGAATAGTGCCCCATCATTGGTGTCAGTGGGAGGAATAGTGTCCCATCATTGGTGTCAGTGGGAGGAATAGTGCCCCATCATTGGTGTCAGTGGGAGGAATAGTGCCCCATCATTGGTGTCAGTGGGAGGAATAGTGCCCCATCATTGGTGTCAGTGGGAGGAATAGTGCCTCATCATTGGTATCAGTGGGAGGAATAGTGCCCCATCATTGGTGTCAGTGGGAGGAATAGAGCCTATCATTGGTGTCAGTGGGGGGAGGAATAGTGCCCCATCGTTGGTGTCAGTGGGGGGAGGAATAGTGCCCCATCGTTGGTGTCAGTGGGGGGAGGAATAGTGCCCCATCGTTGGTGTCAGTGGGGGGAGGAATAGTGCCCCATCTTTGGTGTCAGTGGGGGGAGGAATAGTGCCCCATCGTTGGTGTCAGTGGGAGGAATAGTGCCCCATCGTTGGTGTCAGTGGGAGGAATAGTGCCCCATCGTTGGTGTCAGTGGGAGGAATAGTGCCCCATCGTTGGTGTCAGTGGGAGGGATAGTGCCCCATCGTTGGTGTCAGTGGGGGGAGGAATAGTGCCCATCATTGGTGTCAGTGGGGGGAGGAATAGTGCCCCATCGTTGGTGTCAGTGGGGGGAGGAATAGTGCCCCATCGTTGGTATTAGTGACACAAATGATGGGGCACTATTCCTCCCACTGACACCAATGATACTTACCTTGCTGACCCCTGCTCCAGCCTGGGCTCGCTCTCTCCCTCTCCCATCTACAGCCTGCAGAAGCAAAATTTGCACTTACCTGTCAGCTGTCTTCCTTCTCTGGCCTCTCTCCTCTTCACTCGGTCCTGCAGCTCCCTCGATCTTCTTCGATCTGCGCGCTCTGCCGCTCGGCTCCTCCTCCCCAAGCTCCACCTCCTCGCTGGTGATTGGCCGTCTGTGTGCCTCTCCTGAGCTACAGTTCCGGTGGCCAATCAGCGGCGAGGAGGCGGAGCTGTTGAGTGATCCCGGAGGTGTGGCCAGGTTACAGGGGCAGCATATCATCCCGCCCACAGATCGCGAGACAGAGCAGCGGTGTCTCGGTTCCTAAGACCATCGGAAATATGTTTTCCGATGGTCTTAGGCGACCCCTGGGAAATGGTCGTTCGACCCCCAAAGGGGTCGCGACCCCCAGGTTGAGAACCGCTGGTCTATGGTAATGTTTGACCATCCTTCCAGAAGCACATTTGTAAGGACAGGCACTGATGTCAGATGAAAAGGCTTGGCTCGCAGTCTCTGCTCTAATTCATCCCAAAGGTGGTCTATCAGGTTGAGGTCAGGACTCTGTGCAGGCCAGTCAAGTTCTGCCACCACAAACTCACTCATCCATGATGAGTTGGGAGCATAAACATTGTCCAAAATGTCTTGGTATGCTGACACCTTAAGAGTTCCCTTCACTGGAACTAAGGGGCCAAGCCCAACCCCTGACAAACAACCCCACACTATAATCCCCCCTCTTCCAAACTTTACACTTGGCACAGTGCAGTCGGGCAAGTACCGTTCTCCTGGAAACTGCCAAACCCAGACATGTCCATCAGATTGCTAGACAGAGAAGCGTGATTCGTCATTTCAGAGAACATGTCTCTCCTGCTCTAGAGTCCAATGGCAGCGTGCTTTACACCACTGCATCCAATGTTTTGCATTGCACTTGGTGATGTAAGGCTTGGATGCAGTTGCTCGGCCATGAAAATCCATTCCATGAAGCTTTCTATGCACTGTTGTTGTGCTAATCTGAAGGCAACATGAAATCTGGAGGTCTTTAGCTTTTAACCCTGCATACAGTTGGCGACTTCTGCTCACTGTGCACTTCAGCATGTGCTGACCCTGCTCTGTCATTTTACATGGCCTAACACTTCGTGGCTGAGTTGCTATTGTTCCCAGTTGCTTCCACTTTGTTATAATACCACTAACAGTTTCACAAATGGACTTACTGCACAGGTGGCAACCTATCATGATACTATGCTTAAATTCACTGAGCTCCTGAGAGTGATCCATTCTTTCACAAATGTTTGTAGAAGCAGTCTGCCTGCCTTGGCAATATAGTGTAGTACTTGTAATATCTCCTACCACAAAAAATACTGTAACTAGATATTCACATAGAGCTATCAAATCATGTTAATAAAACAATTGTAATGTGGCATTGCAACAAATGTTATTCCTAAACTTTTTAGGAATAAAATGTAACATGAGATTAAAGATAAAACAAAGTTAAACCCCCCCACCAATACCCCAACTGGTGTAAAAAAAAAAAGTATTTTGTTTTTCAAAATATTTTCCAAATTAATGGCTCACTGGCAACTGATTAAATACCAGAAGCTAAGTAGGATATCAGTGTTTTAAAGAATTCAACTTTGGTAACAGAGTCCATATAAAAGGAAAGAGGGTCCAAAGCCAATACTCATGGTGTATAACAAGCTGTTCCATTCTTTGAATCTAACTTATTTGCAGTTTAAGAAATCACCTTCATAAGAGGTCTTGAAAATTACAATTACCTTAATAAAACATAGAGAAGTCAGTTGTGATATTTTTCATGTATTTTATTTTATATACACTGTGGAATATTTAGTTAATGCTATTTATTATTTATGCTTGTTTGTGGTCACATGACAGTATTATTCATTCACACAATTTGCAATTAGTGCAGCACTATTTAGATTTATGTTGTTATATGTTTATGTTGTCATATGATATTGTAGCCAAGTGTATCTAATGGTGTGCTAGCAGCTTTTTGTTCATTTATTTTCACCCATTTGCACATGCCAGATTGATTTACAGTGGTTGTAAAGACTGAAGGTTTTCACCCTAATGCATTCCCTGCATCAAGGTAAAAAAACTGTCATGTACCAGCTCCTTCCCCAGTCCCGAACCAAATACTTTTTTTTACCACAGATCTTTTATTTTGAAAAATGCTAAAAGATACAAAGAAATAATACACAAGAATCATAGCTTGGAACACTGCATCAATAAGAGCAGCATAGTAATCCAGCCATGCTGTAGGTGGACAACTTCTCTAAGAACAACTAAAACTTCTAGGCAAAAATAGTAGTGCAAAATACCCTCTAAATACTTACTGGAGCCTGATCTCGATCCAGAAGTGTTTCTGAGAGGAGCAGCACTGCTCTTTGTCTGCCTCCTCACTGGACTCCCTCCTCACTGAAAAGCAGTGAGAGGCATTGGCTCATTCTGCTGTCAGCCTAATCCAGTGACAAGGTAGCAGGGGCCAGGGATGAGCCCCACTGTGTGTGTCTATAGACACACAAGAGCCCAGCTTGGGATCGAGCCAGCATATGTGCCACAACAGGAAGCAGCTTCCTATGGTGGAGCTTGGAGAAGACGAGGAGCCAGGAGAGCTGGCAGGGGAACCGAGAAGAGAATGAACAGGACCGCTCTGTGCAAAGCCATTGCACAGAGCAGGCAAGTATGACATGTTTAGTAGTAAAAAATAGAACTAAAAAAATGAACTTTACAATCACTTTAAGTTTATATATTTTCTAGTTGTAGCTAAACTGAATACACCTGAATGCATCTAAAAGCAAGGTGTGAATTGTATCATTAAAAAGTATTACGCACTTTTATAAGTGTTTAGAAATGTACTTATAGTTAAATGCATGAGTCGCTGCCAGTGTAAATGATGCCAAAGTATGGTTTAGTTGGGTATATCATGTGTACAGTGTGATACAACTTTTACTTTATTTTGTAAATATTTTCATTATAAAATGTGCATAATGTGCTGCCAATATCTGTCCATATTAGAGTCTATAGATTTAATGGTGTTTCACATCTGATTCTCTTTTCCAAATATCATATAAGGATGTATGGGAAAAAAAACGGCACTTTTTTAGGGCAACATAGGCAGCGCATGTGACTTTATATAAGCATTGTGGTACGATGATGAGTGGACTGACAATTTATATATGCAGTGGGTTGCTATTCAAAATGAATGGCATTGAACCGCAACACACATACACATAGTGAAGATGGAAAAAATATGAATCCAGCATTAGTAGCTCAAACCCACTGTCCACTAAGTATACACTGAACATCTATTGCTCTATGCTATGGTAAAATCCAATTTCTTTGGGCAGAGAAATGGATAACATATTTTTCATGTATGTGTTCCTTTGGGTTTTGGCAATCGTATCACATTTAATAGTAGACAGATTGGATGCTGGGTTTGATCCCATTGCTGTGAAAAATCATAGCTGGCAAAGGGTACAGCTAAGTAACTGAGTAACTGAATAAGTATGATAAACATGAAATTCCACGACAATGAGAAAAGGTTGGATTCTGCGTGTAAACTAGTAAATCTAGTTCTTCAGCCAAGCAGTTCAACATATGAATGTGTGAATGAGACAGAAATGGCTCCAAGATACTGCTAAAGCCAGAATCAGCAGTACACGCTGTAAAGCTTGTTAGTATTTAGTACAGAATGTCATATGTGGGTTTTAAATCATGCAGTTCTAGTTTTCAGACTATACTGAGCCTGTTTGCTTAAAATGAACACATTCTGACAACACAAAGAAGACTACCCATCATATACTGTACTTCAGAGTGTTTTGATTTCTGTTATTTTCTTTGCTAAAACAGATGAGCAGTATTTAGTTTTTCCATGCAGCAAAGATAACTTACCCGAGCATCTGTTACTTTAAATTCTCGGAGGATGTATTGAGGCATGTTATATTCTGCCATTGGATCCACCACAAAGTACTGATACCGAGCAGACCGTTCTGCGGGCCAATACTGATGGCACTTTTCCTGGAAACATGTAAATTCATTATGTAAAGGATGTAATTCAAAAAACAAATAATAACATGAACCAATATATGTTAAACAGAACCTGTACTCCTGTACTTTCTTTTAACAATTAAATGTTCTGCCTACAAACAAATAACATAAGATGCCTGCTGTTGAGTTTGTTAGCTAGAAAAGCTTTGATACTGACCGTTTAAATTGAACATATGGCTATGCTATAGACTTTCAATTGTGTACATATTTTTAACATGCATTAAATGAGCTTTATCGACCCCACTACCAGCCATTGTAGAAAACAGGCACTAGGGGGGCACAGAGCCAATCAGAGCGTCTCTTTGATGTTTGACTACTGTAATGGCCAAGCAGTGCAGTGTGTTAAATATATATTGTACATTCACACTGGTCCGTGCCCATAAGGAGTGTACAATCTAAGGCCCCTAACTCACATTCATACATACACATACTAGGGCCAATTTAGACAGGAGCCAATTAACCTACCAACATGTCTTTGAAGTGTGAGAGGAAACCAGAGTACCCAAAGGAGACCCATGCAGGCACAGAGAAAACCTGCAAACTCCTGACAGGCTGTGACATGATTGGGATTTGAGCCAACAACCCTAGTGCTGCCAGGTGGAAGTGCTAACATACTGTACATTTACTAAATTCTCCAAGCTGCAGCAGAGGGAGGCTGCAAATCAAAGTGGAGGTAAAGTGGCTGCTCGCCACTGATTTTGTGGGAATGCTTTGGGGGATTCAAAGTGCCACTTAATTTATTATCATTGAATGTGGGGGGGGGGGGGGGATAAAGTGTTTTGGGTTTGTCCACAGCATCTAGCTATTGCACACAATGCAATTTCAGTGCGATACAATTTAATTCTCCAGGGACCTTTCTCCTACTAATAACGGAAGATTTGAGCTTGACTTCAGTGGGCAGCTTTGAAAAGGTTAAGCGTAGCTTAACCACCAAAATATTATTTGGGTGGTAATGTTTTTGCATTTTTGTTTTAAAAGTTTTATAACAGAAAGTATGGGAATGATATTGGCAAACAGCACAAATAGAGAGGGTGAATCTGAAGCACACCCCAAAGCTCCAGAGAATTTAGAGGATGACAAAAGACAGAAGTTATGGCCTAAATGTTTTAGTTTTTATGAGCAATAAGTAAAAGCAGATATACTCACTCTGCCCATTTCTCTGAGCTTTGTTAGCATTACAACAATGGTTGAGTTGTGTTCCCATAGCATTCTCCAGAAGTCTTCCGTTGTCTCTGCCAGGGGACCTTGTGTGGCTATATAGGCTTTTTGTTGTCTGTTTGAAAAAAAAAATTGAGAACAATGTCTTAAAGGTACAGATACCTGCACACTATCATTAGCAGCTTCAAGAAAAATCCTTTACTGTGCAAATATAAACAGTATACTTAATGAAATGCAGTAGTCATGTGTTGTTAAAGATACAGGTTCTCTTTAATATAAAAGTCATATTTTCTACATAACTGTATTATCCTACGTCTTTGAGACTGATTGTACAATGCAAGGAATTACAATATATGTCATAATGGAACCCCTAGCAACACAAAGGTGAGTATGTTATTTGTTAAAGGTAGATAAACTGACTTAATAACATGTATCCCAAATAGTGTATTTAACTGCAGTGGCTACACTTTTTTATGAGCAGGTAAGAAATGGGAAACCTGACTGCTGAATACACAGTACACCTTGTCACCCATGTAGTTTGTGAAGCCCCTAAGTGCTGGCCAGTAGTGTACAACTCTAGCTTCACTATAGCTCCATGACCCTTCTACATAAGATGGACAGTAAGGCTGGGTGCAGCTGATGCAAGTGAACCTGTAGTCGGTGCTGTCCAAAGGATCAGAGGACAGATTGCAAGGAGCCTTTGAAAGTATGGTTTATCTGGTCACTGGCACATTGCAAGACTTGATGTGGAACTGCTGCCATAACCTTCACACCTGAGCTGAAAATCCTATTTTAAATTAGGCTGATAGAGATTGGGTGTACTAAAAAGATTTAGAGAACACACCAAAACACCAACAAAGTGAATTTGTTTCTTAGATGCATTCAAACACAGTATAACATTTGATTTTTGTGTCTCAATAGGCTTTTATCAAAGAATAAACATTTAACAAGCATATGCACAGCAAGCAAATTATTATCATATGTACTAAGATGGCCAGAGAGGGATATAAGACAACAAATATCCTAAGTACATGTTCTCTAAAGCCTTAGTACAGCAATATTGATCAAACATTTGATTTTTATATATCTTTCATCTATTTATATTACACCAACATAAGCTTTAAATTACTTAGGCTAGGCATGCTTTAATCTAATGCATATGCTTACTGCTGATGCTTTAAATGCAATTCAGGTCACATTATTCTGCTGGAAAAATCAGACAGTATAAAACATAACCAAGAAGAAAAAAATTGCCAAATTACTGTACTAATATATGAATGTTTTAAGTTCAAATGTGTACTAATCATAACCAAACTTTACTGGATTTAGTATTTCGCCATTTTTAAAGCATTTATTTCTCTGTGTAACCACGATGTCAAAGACCAACACAAGACCCATTTCCTAAATACTTTTCATTTGAGTAATTAAAATGTTTAGTGCACTGTTTCTAGAATCAACTTAAGAAAATCTAAAAGTTGATTCTGCCTTCCTTTATCCTGTTTTTAATAGTTTCATGAATATGAAACAGTAATTCATAGTTAGGAGGAGACAGTAACTCTCAACTTTGGCATCTGCCAAAAGAAAGGAACTGGAACGTGTGGGCATAAAAGAACCAAAACAGATAAACAGAGTATAGAAATGTACACAGTATATATTTACTCTCTTAGCTTTGTAATTCATCCCCTTAGTTCAGCAGTTGAGCTTCCTGTGTCATCTCTCTACCATAGACACTGTCAGTAGACAGTCATTAGAGGGTGAATCAGTATGATTACTGCCTGTCAGAGGGTAGCTGACTCAGGAAATAGTAATATAATGCCAAAATAGTAGCAGATTGATCTTACTGGCTAGCAGACGTGCATGTCACAAGAAAGACTGGCCAAAATGATATATCCTTTATCAGTCAAACAAATACACATATGTAATGCAATGCATTAATATTCTTATGCTATATGTTTGTTGTTTAGAAATGGTGGGGATTTCAAGTAGTTAAAACAAGCTCAAAGATACAACTGTAGCTGTTAGCTTGGTACCATTTTTTAAACTGGCAATCAGCTTTTCAGTAAAAGCAATCCAGGCTGCTGCATAGCCATCCAATCACTTTTTTGGTATTGATGATGGGGACTCCCTAGTGCTGCCCACAGTGGTTCCTGGACTCTTCTGTACCTTCTGGGAGGCCAAGATCAATGTAGTTTGTTTCAAGATGGAGAACATGAGAAACTGCTCACTGATCTATGTGATGAATGAAGCCAGACAAACATTTCCTCACTTCAGTTTTTAGTTGATTAATTCCCTGGATTCTGTAACTGGGGAAGCAGCTAATCAAGCATGGCCTGTGCTTGGTCAGGTGTAGTAGACAGCAGAGGTGGCATTAGGGGTTTAATAGACCTCTGATGTCTTCATAAAGGGGGCATGTCACTTGTCCATGCTATTAACTTGCTAGCACGTTTGTGATAGCCATCACATTAAATAAAAAAAATGGGTTTAAAAATTTAATGATAATAACGCAAACAAAAATTAAAAGCAACCCTAATGCTGGCATGTTAATGCAAATGTACACATAAAGAGTGCATGTGTATATATACAAGCATTGCACTACACGAGTGAGGTGTAGTCGCAAGCTTTGGAGTAAGAGCTGTAATTATACGACCATCATTCCCTGTTAATGCTGAACTGGTAACCTGTAAAGGCTTTTAAAGCATTACCTATGAACAGTTCTGGATAATGTAGATTTCTACCACTTCACAGGCTCAAGAAATTTTAAGGCTTAACATGTTTGGTATCTTTTTACTCGATGCAACCCCATCTTTATATTTTACAAAAAAAATGGGTATTATATTGTGTTTGGGTGATTTAAAAATAATTTTAGTTTATTTTTTTACAAAAATATACCCTTGATAAATAGCTGCGCAAAATCGTGTTACAAAAAAAATTTGCAAATACCACAATTTTATTAAGCAGGGCATCTGCTTTCAGAAAATTTGTAAGTGTTTGGGGGCTTTGAGCATTTTTCTTACAAGATTTATATGTGTGTAAAAAATTAACAAATTGCTCTGAACTTGAAGTGGCTACATAAAACACTGTTTTGGATAAAATGTGAACTTTTTTGCACTCTACTGGCGTAAAGTTTTTTTTCCCTAATTCACAGATTAACTAATCCACCAGTACTAGCACTGATTTATTATTATTGTGACGATGGTCTTAGAAAACCTCAATTTTGTACGCAAGCATGGATTTGGCTGCGTCTCATCTCCAGATCTTCAGTAGTGATGATGATAACTTTATTTATTTATTGCAGATACTTTTATAGTGCTGTCAATTTACACAGTGCTTTACATACATATATTGTACATTCACATCAGTCCCTAACCCTCAAGGGGTGTACAATCTAAGGTCCCTAACTCACATTCATACATACATATACTAGGGCCAATTTAGACAGGATCCAATTAACCTACCCGCATGTCTTTGGAGTGTGGGAGGAAGCTGGAGTACCTAGAGGAAGCCTATGCAGGCACAGGGAGAACATGCAAACTCCAGGCAGGTGGTGCGGTGGTTGGGATTTGAACCAATGACCCTGGTAATGCCAGGCAATGCCAATGTTAACCATTTGGCCACTGTGCTGCCCCACTTTTGTATGTTAAAGTGAAACTCCGGCCTCACCTGTTTCTGTCCCATCAGCTTCTGCTTCTTGTCCTTGCTGAAAAACTGTACTGCTGTTTTATGCAGTAAAGAGTATTAAAAGAGAAACTCAGACTGGCTCTATCTGACAACTCCTACCAGCTAGTACAGAGCAAGGTGGAAGAAGCATAGAAAGAAGTAACCCCTTTTTAACTTCAGTTTTGAGGTATAAAATCTTGGATAAAGGTTAATATAACAACAGAAAGTTATTTGGCACATGCAAATGTGGAAAGGAGTAAAAAAAAGTACAAAAAAATAAATATATATATATATATATATATATATATATATATATATATATATAAAATATAATATTATTATTATTGTTATACAAGATTTATATAGCGCCAACAGTTTGCTCAGCGCTTTACAATATAACGGGAGACAATACAGCAACAGTACAGTTCAATACAAGAGGGATAGGAGGGCCCTGCTCCTTGGAGCTTACAATCTAGGAGATATATATATATATATATATATAGACAGGGGCGGACTGACCATTTGGAAACTCGGGCACTGCCCGAGGGCCCGGGGTCAGTAGGGGGCCCCATGAGATGCCCCTGGTACCTTTTTCATAGGCTTTTTTGAGTTTGGGCAAGGACACAGGGCCCCATGATCCCCTATTGCCCGGGGGCCCCATGAGTTGTCAGTCCGCCCCTGTATATAGATACTGTATATATAGATATATATATATATCTATATCTGCATACTAAAATTCAGCTTTAAACATTGATTCCACACCAGCAAAATGTACTTCTTTATCCAAATATGTTTCTAGATAATACATAATCAGTTCTTATCTAAACGTAATCTGTGCTTCCCAAAACAGAAATGTATTTCTATATTGCATTCATAATTTTTTGCATTAATTATATTGCCATTGTTATGATTTATATGATCATATTCCTTTTACTAGTAATGGGAACAATTCTCAGTTTTACACTGTTAGAAATAATGTAATAAAACACTTAGCAGAAAAATGTTAATAACTGCCTGCATATCAATCATAGTTTGCTAGTATGGAAAAAACAAACCATGTTAGTAGCTGCTGAAATAAATCACTATTGTGAAACATAAAAGAGACTATTTATTCTAATTATCTCCTCTGAGAGCCAAGGGATAGAAATAGATCCTGACTGATTTATGTCACCTGGAATCCCCCGAGCTAGACAAAACCTGGAAAGGTTTTCCCCTACAACACTGGTAGCCATTAAAGTAATTAGTAGCGTTGCACCGATACCGATACTAAAGCTGATACCTTCAAGTCTGCAGACTGTAACCGCTGCCGTTATGGAGAGAGACGCAGGAGGATGTATTGCGAGGGCGGCTTCTGGATGTCTGACGTCACATACGTCAATCAGTGTGTGGCAGTGTGAGACGCGACATCCAGACCGCATAAGCTCTGGCAAGAGCTCTACCGCTACACCAACAGGGCAGAGCCAGGTGAGCTGGGCGTTAAAAATAATTACATATAATATTTAATTTGTAAATAAATATATAGTCATTCATACAGTGCTGGGCTACCACTAAATCACCAGGCAATGTCTTTTGAGATACAGTTATTCATAGTTATAAAGAAACGGTAATAATTTTTCATTAGTTTAAAAAAACTGCCACTTAACAATAAAAATAGGTATTGGTAATTGGTATCAGCAAGTACTTGAGCAAAAGTATCAGTACTGGTACTGGGTCTTAAAAAACTGGTATGGGAGCATCCCTAGTCATTAGTCTTGTAGAGTCTAGAAAGAGAAGGCTCTGCACCCCTATACTATCCAGTCAACACAGCAGCATTGAGTTTAAAATGCTCTACTATACAGCTGATCTACAGCTTATATTTATACTCATACATTGCCCCATTTCTCTCATGTAATTGCATCTGTATTTAGTGACTACTAAGATGATCAGATCATTCCCTGAACACAAACCTTGGGTAAATAGGAAGGTGAAGGTTCTGGTTAGAGATAAGAATGCTGCTGTAATAAGGTGACATATAGGGTTTTATTTACTAAAACTGGTTCACTCAGAATCTGGTGCAGCTGTGCATGGTAGCCAATCAGCTTCTAACCTCAGCTTGTTCAATTAAGCTTTAGCAATAAAACCTGGAAGCTGTTTGGTTTCTATGTAGAAGTGCACAAGATTCTGAGTGAACCAGCTTTAGTAAATAAACCCTAGTGTGGCTATGGGAAGGTTAAAAGCAGGTATTACGGAGGCAAAACAGAATTATCAAGAGGAGAAAGGATTTGAACTAAATGATACTAGAACAGTGTGGAAGGCTATTCAGTCAGCCACAGGTTATAAACAGAAACAGGTTTTAGTAGACAAATGTGAGGTTTCCCTCCCTGAAATCCTAAATATATTTTATGCCCAATTTGATCAATCAATTATTGCCGTGACTACCAAACTGGCTTTCTCTCCAGGAGATATATCATTTGAAGTTTCAGACACAGTCTGCCTTAACAAGGCGGGCCTGATAACATCCTGACCACTATTTTAAAGAACCATGCCTCCCAATTAACAGATGCTTTTACAGATATTTTTAATGTTTTATTTATTATGAAGTGCTTTCAGAAAATCGGTCTTCAGCACATTAAAATATGTGTTCCAGTGGGGCTGGATAATTATCAGTTTGTCTTTAGGTCTACCGAGAATGGTATTACATTCAATTTTGACCCACCTAGAGATTGAAAAGAGTTATGTTTGAATGCTCTTTATTTTAGTTCATAGTTTAATGCTAGTTTATCTATGAAACCTATGGGCATGCTTAAATTACTAAATTTAAGCCCATTCTTTGTACCTGGATATTGGATTTACTCACTAATAGGCCTCTGTTAGAAGGTAGCATGTTTTTATATCACACATTTATCGATTTTTACTCCCTGGTTAACAAAGAGCCATTTGGCCTTTTGGATGTTGTCTTGGAATGTCAGTAAAACAATAATATACAACAGGGTGTGTATGTAACAAAAGACTGCATGCTAGAATCCTGATCCTGGAAGGTAGTTCCGCCTACCCCCTAGCAGTGGGGCATGGAGATAAGAGGCCCAGATTTCCTGGTGATGTTGATATTAGAATGACTGATTGCATGGCTTCTAGCAAGAAGGAAGAAACCAGATGTTGACCTGGGTCAAGGTATTTTGATTGCAGGGTGCCACTGCTCCCTACTGGAAGACGGCAACATACTTCCTAGAGGGTGGTTGGGGTAATACCATGCTTCCTGGTGATTAAGAAGGACAGCCCCTTATAATTTATTAATTGTTTCTCATTGAACAGAGGACTATACAGGAGGCTTTTTTCTCTCTTTTTCTATCCAGAGCCCAGCCAAGATACTTGACTTCAAGGACGAACTTATGTAACATATCATGTATGCTCTATAATATTCCTTAAGATTTCTGTGTTAGTCTTCTATTTTCTTTGTAAATAAATAAGACCTTTGCTTCTTTGAACGTTGTGTTTATTGTTATAGCTAATATTGTTATTATATTATTGCCTGAATATTATCAGAGCTTTGATAGACTATCTAATTATAGGAACATACAAGGTAGTGCATATTTTTATAATTTAAGTACAGGTAAGCCAAAACCACTCCTTATTTATTTCAGCCCCAGACAGTTAAAATTGAAAAAACACTGCTGCTTGATACTGTTCCTTAGTACAGGGTGGGACAAGACTGTGTATTAAATCCTATTTTGTTTACTTTGTATACTTATGACTGTGTTTTCAGATTTGAGGCAAACACTATCGTTATCGGAGAATAAGGGAAGGTGATAAGGATGCATATAGGTAAGAGATAAAGGGTTTGGGTGAATAAAATTAAGGGGCTGATAAAAAAAATTAGAAGAAGAAAAACTGGGAACTGTTTATGCTCTGGTCTTTATAGATAGGCTGCAGATAGATAGGATGAATGCGTTTGTTTTTTTGGGAATGAATACAGAAGAATTATCATGATCAGTGTCTGCATTTTCTCTGGTTATTAAAATGCACTGGCAGTTATCATTTTGGTGAAGCTGAAGAGGGCTGGGTTTTACAAGTAGTCCTCCTTGGCTTCTATATGGATGCTATGGACAGTGTGCTATCTTACTTTATGGCAAGGTATGTGCATAGTCCAGGTTTTGAAAGCTTAAGAGAGGGTGATAAAAACTGCACAGAAATTCATAGGTGTAGCTTTCCCTAGTATTGATGAGCTTGGGGAAATGAGGTGTCTTCAGAAGGCCCACAACTTGTGGATATAGTTCCCAGCCAAGTAATGCCTTGTTTTAAATTATAACCATCTGGTAGGTGGTACAGGAGTATTGTCTCCTACACCATCAAGTTACAAATTAGTTTACTTTCCAGTATGATTGCTAAATCCAGATGAGAGTAACAAGATACCATGGAAGAAGAGTACACAGGAAAGAGCTAATTTTACTATGGCAACTGTAGTGTAACTGTGGAGGTTGTTGTTGCTGTATACAATTTGTATGGCTATAAATGTTTTTATGTGTAGCAGTGAATGGGACTATAACTATATATAATTTTATGATTATTTACATCCTCAAAGAATGGTAATACATTTCCTTCGAATCTGTAAGTGTTTGAATCATGACTGTCTGGATTTGGTAATTAAATGCTTCTACACAGATCAGATTTGTATTGGAAAAATACAGTACACATATTGTATTGTGACCTGAAAAGACAACAATATTTAACCACTTAAGTTCCAGAAGACTTTACCCCCTTCATGACTAGGCCATGTTTTGCTATTCAGCACTGCACTACTTTAACTGGTAATTGCACGGTCATGCAACACTCTACCCAAATGAAGTTTTCTTTTTTTCACACAAATAGAGCTTTCTTTTGGTGGTATTTGATCACCACTGTTTTTTTTTAATATAATCAAAAAAAATCGACCAAACATTTTGAAATAAAAAATAATATTTTTATTTTCTGCTATAAAACATATCCAATAAAATTTGAATTTCTCCCATAAATCATTGGCCAGGACTCGCTGATCAACTTGTGCTGTAGTGAGTGACAGCACAGCTAGGGCGGTGGGTGCACAAACGCCCTCTACTTCGAAAAGCCAGATCACATATATGTATGTGATTCAGCTCAGTGGGTCCACTCTGCCACAGTAAATCTGCGGTGGGTAGGAGGTCCCTAAGTGGTCAAGCTCACCAGAATTATGGCATGGCCCATTGGACAGGGATGATCAAAGACTCTGCATTAAATTACAGACTGATTTAAATGTAATCTGTATCTTGGTTCTACTCTGTATAAGAAGTATGGGCAACACATCACCTGCTGCCTGCATTTATACACACATTTTAATTATATATATATATATATATATATATATATATATATATATATATATATATATATATACTGCTTGCAGCCTGTGTCAGTCTAAGTAATGCATCTATTTAGAAAGCAGACCAGGTAATTTCTTGGTGATGTTTTTTAGCTATTTCTGCAAAACTTTAAGTTTGAAGTTGGCAATACTGCTAAGTATATTGAAAGTCTCTTATTACATAAAAGGGGCTGCATTTCTGTGCAGTGCCAAGGGGTTTCTGCATACAGTATATTGTTTCTTGCTATACACGAAAGATCATTTTGCACAATGGGGAAAGGGGGTATTTTAGGTACAGTGGAGGGTATCATCAGGTACACTGGTGATGTGCCAATAACAGATTATCTTGTTGATGATGCACTGAAATTGTGTATTGCGTACATACGTAATAAACATTTACAAGTTAAATTTCATGATAAGTTTATGAAAACATTTTAGCTAATGGTCATTAATATAGCTTGTGCAGAAATAATATTTACCTGTATCCATCTATAAAACTTGCATTGATATAGTCGGAGCCCTCCACACCACGTATTGGCTGAAGACACACCCTTGTGGACTCATATGGCATAATATTAACAAGGCGATTTTTAAATTTATTACATGGAAGATTGGCACTGATAAACCGTGACGTGTGAGCTTTAGAACTAGCGAGGCGCTGTTAAAAAAAATAGTAAAACACTACAAATTAACATCTGTCTGTCACTCAAAAGGTTTTTTACATATTGGTTATAGTGTATAGCCAAAAGTTAAAACAATAGATAGAGTGGGGAAGGGTTAGAACTTCTGTCAGGTTCTTTAAGGCCTTGGTTGTCCCTGTCTCAAAGTGCAATGACTTAGAAAATCCAGTGCTCAACCTAAAAGACCTCTAGGTAGTGTTTCAGGCAAAATATATATGAAATACATAACAAAGAGAGCGTCAAAACAGTGGTAAAGTCCACATAAGAAGGACTATTGAAAAAAGTTTGTTAAATAGATCTTTTTTTATTGATAAAACACATTTTCTTATTTGCATTTTACTAATGGTTGAAACCTCTCTTTGTTTTGTAAGTCATAGACTTTTATTGCTGCCTGTGTCTCCGCTGGTTATCATTGTCACTTGTGAAGACAATTAGGAAAATTTAAACATTTTGTTGCAGAAACAGGAGGGTAAATCTTCCAATGGAATCACTGCTTTGGATGATGGCTGAGTTGATTTCCCCTCATTTTGGAGAGATTTCTCTCTCATTTTATGCTGCGTCTCCAAAACAGGAAATGCAACAGGAAATGCCCAAAGCAAAAACTGACAGGGTTTTAACCAATCGTTGCTCTATCCAAAACTGTTATGGCTGTAGATATTTTAAAATTGAGTAACTGGAAAATATAGAACTTCAATATAATTTATATTAAATCCAATATGACTATTTGAAAAAAAAATAATTGAACTGTACGACAGAAGGAAAATGAAAAACATTCACTTTGAAAATATATAAATAGTAAGAATGATAAATACTCTATTTCAAGCTCATTGGTCTCAGAACATTACCCATATATTTATTATCATAAAAATAGGAATTTTGACTTATCTGTAAATTTCTTATTTTGGAGTATAGTACAGGTCACAGGACTTTCATTAATAAACCATAGGATATACAGTATGCAGACTAACTTCAGGTGATTGGACACTGGCAACTGCTAATGCCACCCCTAGTGAAGTCATAAAACCTTGATCACTCTGCGAGACTCCATTTTTTTTTTAGAAAAGCAATAGGGAGTGATTAAATGACACAGAAGAGGGGCCTGTGCCCTGTACTGTACTCCAAGATAAGAAATTTATAGGCAAGTCGAAAATCTTATAATCTTGTATTGCAGTACAGGACATAGGACTTGTATTCATAGACTGAGAGAATCACCAAGTGATAAACTGAGGGGTAGGCAACAACACACAAAGCTGAACTGCCAACAGGCCCACAAAAAAAGGGGTTAAAGAACCTGAAAGGACTCAGAAAACAGAATGAAATACCTTGTGGCCAAAGCATGCATCAGCCAAGGCCTGAAAATTCACCTGGTATTAAATGGAGAACATGTAAGCAGAGGACCAGGTGGGAGTCTTGAAAACCTGGAGTATAAATGCTTGATGCTGAAAAGCCCAAGAGGCACCCCTGTATAATGAGCTCTGATAGGAAAGAAAGTAAGCCATTTCTTAAGGGAGTAGGTCCTGGAAATAAGATGTCTGATCCACCTGGCAACAGTGGATGAAGAAGCAGGGTGCCTATTAGGAAGACCTCCAAGCAGATCAAAGAGAGACTCAGTCTTGTGAACAGAGGCCCTGGCTGCCAAGTAGACCCTGACAGCTCTGATCACACCCAGGCAGTTTAAGGCAAATTTCTTGTCAAGAAAGAAGGAAGGGAGGCAAAAAAAGAGAACACCTTAGATAAATAGAAATAGTTTTTGCTCTGAAATATATGTGCCCCTTTGCAAAACAAGAAAAGGTTTTTTGCAAGAAAGAGCTGCCAACTCAGAAATACATCTAACAGATATACAGCTGACCTCTCTGAAGGAAAGAGAGCACCAGGTTGAGATCCAAGGCAAGAGGTCAAATTGGGCAATTTAAGTATGAAACTCCATGAAGAAATTTTGATAAGGGGTAGAAAGGCAAGACATTTCTGAAAGAGAATTTGTAAGATAGAAACCTGTTCCTTAAGGGTACCCAGGGCTAGACGCTGGCCAAGACAGGACTGAAGACTTGTTTTGGCTGCAAAGTGTTGGGTGCTGTTAAGTCAAGACTAAATTGCACCATGTCAATCAATGTGTCCACAGTAGAAAGCACTAGCCAATGCCTCACAAAAAGCAGGGGAAGAAAAATCCTCTGCTATCTCTGCTTCAAAATATCTCAATACTTTTCCATATAATATCCGCCTAAAAGTAAAAGTAAGGAGGTTCCGCTTCTGATTTTTTAACAGGATTAGAGTGAATAGAGGATGTGTAGTGTTTCTGGCCTCTGGAAATGGAAGTGCAGAAAGACATAATAGCAGAAGAATCTGCTTTTGTCAGATAGGCTGCGTGGTATGTGCCTGAGAGGGAGTTAGAGTCAGAGAAGGGGATCGGTGTTATAATAGCCCATTGCTTTTAGACAAGGGAACAGCTATCACCTTGAACAGTAGTTTAGGTTTCCTTTAGACCGTGTGCAGAATGTATGCTGTGTTCAGCCATTAAGGGGATCATCAGTGGGGTACTCATGGAATGGAGTTGGGACTGAATGGGGTCTGTGTGTCTGGTTACAGGAATAACTGAGTGTCCAGATACAGGATCTTGCTATAACCCAGGTGCTGACTGTACTTCTGTGGTGGTGTCTCTATAGAAGATGGCAGCAGAAATGTGCATTTTTGGTGGAAAAGGTGGGCAGCAATGCATCATCTAGGAGGTGTGACACAGTTGCCTTATCCTCCTGAGACTAAGATTTGAGGGGAAAACTGGCAATTTTAAAATGCTTGTCCTGAGAAAGGTCGAAAGAGAGAAATTGCAAGGGTTACCACAATATAGCAAATAACTCCCAAATCCCTTGTGTGTAAAACAGAATAGTGTGGATTGTGGTTTTAAAAACCAAGAACCAGTGCCAAATTACAGTGAAACCCTGCCTTACATTTCTGGGTCTACTGGAGGTCCAGGCTTCGCTCGTTATTGTGAGCATCCCTCTCAAGGCATCTTCAGGGTCTGGGAACCATAGAGATTGACCATGGCCCTAGACCTGTATATCATCCTGTAGCTTACTACACACATTTGACTTAGTGCCAAGGATCTACTGATTAAAGCAGGCATTACAGGCCAACCCCACACAGTGGGATCTGAACTTGGTCCCCAAGGTACACACCGAGCGTCAGAAATTTGTAAACTTTTTATAGCTCAGGGCAATAAGCAGTCAAATCTTGATAGAAGTATCAGTTACAAAAACACTGAATGGTTTTAAAAAAAGAACAGATTTCTCATCAAAGGACACTAGCAAAAACTGGTGTCTCTAGGAACAGGCAGGGATTTATAAGTGCACACTAGGGGCAGGCCTAGCAAATTTTTTGCCAGTGTCCAATCATCGTAAAGTAGCCTGCATATAAAACATGATCTATGAATACATGTCCTCTGTCCTGTACTGTATCATTTAGGTAATCTGCCCATATTGGTGATGTGCATGTAGCAATAATACTATGTTTTCACTGGCTGTACACTAAAATTGTTTATTTCGTCCACCACCCCCAAAGCCCTCCCCATTGCTCTTAAACATTATCTTACCTCATTCTGCTCTGGACTGTACATTGCTTTACAGGCTGAAACACTGGCTTTTTCTCTACCATACTCAATTACATAGTTTCAAAACTGTATGCTCATAGACGGCAATGCGCATACTTGCCACTAGAGATGATGAGTATGAACAGCTTTACTTGTTCAGGCATTTGTCTGACTACAATATAGTAGTGACTTTTCGACTATTACTATATATGACAGCTTCCTTCTTCCTTGCTCAATGGTTCTTAAGGAGCAGAGGATGCTTCATTTATTTTCTGCTCCTCCCCCCAGACATATGTGACTGACAAAGAATTTGCAATGTGGGACTTTTTTATTTACAGGACCTGTCAAAAAGTATGGTGCCTTCATTTTAATTTTTTGTCAATGAGTAGGTGTTCTATGTGTCCCTTACTCATTCATGTAGAGGGATTGGTATCTGGGAACCCACTTGTTTTTAAAAAGGGATTCCAGATTATGATAAGCCCCCACCCAACCCCACAATTACCAGGCCAAGTTTGTGGGGTTGAGGGCCTTTTTCTCATCAGATTGGGGTATAAATTGATGTTGAGGGCATGTGGCCTTGTATAGTTCAGGCAAAGGAGGCACACTCTAATCCGCTCTTCCTTTTGTGGCCAGTCAGGCTGCATTGATTTGGGGATGGGGGTGCAATGGGCTTGTTTTTTGTGTGGGTCAGACTTGACATTATAGGGGGAAGCCCACACCATTTTCTTTTTTGTGTAGGGTTGCATCTATACCAGACAGTCAATCTAGGATAAGGGTCTGATATTGAAGGGAAACCCAGCCGCTTTGTTTACAAGCAGAAGTAAGCATCTGGGAGCTGTTATTTACCTGCAATTTAAAAGGCATTTTTTGCCTGTTTTGATATAGTAAGTTGTATGCATCCAATAGATGCACCACTTCACAGAACAGGTTAAGGACATCCCCTGGGTATGTTATTTAAAGGAATTTTTACTGTTGCCCTTTAAGCATTTGCAAAATTTCTGCTCGCCTACAAATGGAATTTGTTTGACAATTCCTTGCCTATTAGCCGAGAAAATTACCATTTTTTTTAACATTTGGCTCCCAATGAATTTAGAGGGGTTCAGATTAAGCACCCAAACTTCAATAATGTTTGGCAAACTTGCCCCCTAACTGAACTCAGGTACATTTTGCTCATTCCTAAACATCACATGCTTTCATTAAAGAGGAACTCGTACCCTAAATACAACAAAGGCACCTATAAAATGATTAGTCATGGCAGTCTACAAACAGATACTTAATAGATAACTCCAGACTTTTTATTCTCTCTGCATATTTTTATTTTTCTCCATAACCTTCTGAAAGTAGCCAATATACACTAGATGGCAGATGAATCCATCTCCCTTTACTTCCTGGAATTCTGGGTCTGCCTCCTGGAACATGTGACAGAGCACTTTATCTAAGGGGCAAAACAATTCCTTTCCATCTGAGATTCCACTGTTCACAAGTGAGATTTCACAGGACGACACTGGTCATATAGCCTGTGTGAGGCCATGGCTACATTTTCAGTGCCTCACTCAACCAGGAAGTGGGAAAACAATAATTGTAAAAGTAAAACAAAACATGTTTGTTTAGCTTATGAATGTAAGTTGAATTCATACCAGAATGCAGACCTGCATGTGTATGTATTTTTAACAAAAGAGGGAAAGGTCTGCTTTATGGACTTCAACATTTCCTAGGGACCAACAATGCACATGTGTGCAGTTTGGACACTCTAGTGTAGTAGAGAAAAAAAATGGGCAATGTGATATAGGGGGAAGGAAGTGATACGGATGTTAAAAGTGCACTTACACTTTGTATATGGTAGCATTCAACCTAAAAAGATATGTGCAAGAATGTACGTAGAGATAAGAGGATTTTCAATAAAGATGTCTTAATGAGGTTTGTCGAAGGCCTGTTCAAGTGAAAAATCCATTTCTGTGACTTGGATGTACATAAAAAAAGACAATGGTTTATATTTATTGTTTTAAGTTTAAAATAATAGAACACTTGTACACATAAGCATAAACTCTCCATAAAAATCTAATTCATATTTCTAATAAATGAGTTTAAACTTTCTTGGCATGTTGAATGTTTTTGGTTTGTCTGTAGGCTGTTAGTAAGCTAATTTTGAAGTCGAGCAGACTTACCTTAAATTCTAACTCCATCCCTGTGACATTCTCTCCAGGTTCTATCTGTGTCAGCTTCTGAATATATGCATACAAGTTTCTAGCTGGCACTTCGGTATTTCCACAAGTCACTGCCTCTAGCAGTGCATCATGGATAAAGATATATTGGTCCTCTGTTTGAACCATGTAATTTCTCTGAGCTCTCATTAAAGTTACATGACCATAAATATCTACAGTTTTTTCATGTCGTATCCTCTCCAGCATGGCATCTATTACGATGAAGCAGCCCGTCCTTCCCACTCCAGCACTAGAAATATAAGAGAAGAAAATTATATTGATGGTAAAAGGCTTTTACTACAGAAAAAGCATTAAATCAAAATGCATGCCTTGGTGCACAATTAACCCCTTGCTGCCACCTATACACTGGAATGGGGTCTTTTTCTGTGAGGCCGCATAAGTGTACGTGTATTTGTGCTGGGAGCGCACTGCACAGTGTGCTCCTCATCGAGAGCCCCAGGTCTCATACTAATGATCGGAAAAGAAAGTCCTGGTTTCCCATCACCTGATCACTGATTGGCTATGACAGTAATCAATAACAATGCAGGCTCACCCCTTGGTTTTTTTTCCTCCTCTGAATGGAGAGAAATATACATTGTATCTCTCTCTCCTTGCTAGGAGAGAAAAAAAATAAACAAAAAGTGTGTGTAAAAATAAAGAAAAAATAGCTAGTTCAAGGTTTGATCTAGGTCAGTATCAGGGTCAGTGTTAGGGTCAAAGGTGGTGGTCAGGGTCAAGGTCAAAGGTCAGGGTTCATATATTTTAGGTAGGACTTTAAAATAAGCATTTTTAAAATTAGTATCAGTGTCAGTGTGTTTTAGGTAGGATTAAAAAAAGCAAAATGTGCACAACTGTTTCTGGATCATACTATGGGCACAAACAACAAATAACACACACATATGTTGTATTGCTGCAATTGTAAAAAGCAGGTGAATTTATTTAGGGTTGTTCTTTGGTGGTAAGTTATGGTAATAGCAAGAAATATACAGTAAAAGAAATTTTTTTTTGTGCTATTGTGGGCCAATGTTCCATTGATAATAAAAAGAAAAATCAGGAGATATTTGTTACCATTTACCGCCAAATTAAAGCCCAATTTGTCCTGGAAAAAACAAGATATAATCAACCTGTATACACAAAGTAGTTGTGATGATATGTACAATTTTACTAACACATCGCACCGTTGCAAAATTGTGTTCTGGCATTAGGATTTGTTTTACGCTCCATCATGAAAGGGTTAAAACAAATATATTTGTGTAGTTAAATTAAAGTACTACTAAATGACTTTGATTAGTTTGAGTAACGACTATTAAGTGCATGTTCAGATCACAGCACATACTCCTAACAAATTATTTTTAGGGAAATAATCAGTTGATCCCAGCTGGATTTTTATGGCTGATTACAATTTTAACTCTCAAGATAAGACATCAGACTACAGGAGTTCAGAATCTTTAATCTATATTTTTAGCAACAATTCCCTTTAATTATCCAAACATGTAAAATGCACATTCATGTTCATTTCCTAATTCCTTTAGTAAATCAACATCCTTATGTCTATGGCCACCTTTGTAAATAAAGCATTCCTGTTTCTTGAGCAGTATGGAATATGGAAAGTTTGAATTAGATTTACTGCTATAGAAAGCAACAAAACATTCCATCAGACTTCTGGAGCATGGGTATCTTGTAAATATCAGTAGTTCTAGTGTTTTATTCTAACTGACCAATCAAATTTCAGTTTGCTGTAGTCAACTTAGTTAAGAAACAATTTCCAGTTGGTTACTCAAGATTTGTAGACTTTTCATATTCTCACTGTTTTGTACACTTCTTTTTTTTGCGAATGAACAAGGATATCTTCTGTTCTGTCCCATGGCATATTTTTTTTACTACACTTACTTTTTTGTTTTTTTATGAAATTGCGTTGAATAATAAAAGACATGAATACAGCTCCAGACTGAGGATCCCAAAACAGTTTGCATACAAGCCAAATGTCTTTACAAATAACTACAGAGTCTGTTTAAACTATGCATCATATATTATAATAAGCAATCGCAATTTGCATACACAAAAGGGAAGAGATGCATTATTATTTAAAAAATATCTTGATAAAGATTGCGTAGGTAATGGGCTATTACAATACCCACAGATTTCCTTGGTCATCAATTTTCTATTAGATCTTCATAAAACATATGGCCAGGAATTTGTTATTCAGACACAAATACATGTAGGAATGACTGTTAATTCTTGGTAGAAGTTTCAAAGCTAAATACTACTTTGTGTTACTTGCCCACTAAAGAGACTAATCAAATGATAACAGGAGCAGAAAAAGAATAGCATCTTAATTAAGTGCAGATCCTCAGAGTGCTTTAATATGAATTCACACAAGTCAGTGTCATAATTAAGACTGCTTGGTACAGCCATGAAAATGCTAACAGATACCTTTGCTAATGGCTTCAAGGAGATCTCACATAATAAGATGTGACATACCAGTATGACATTTACACTTTTGCCGAAGTAACCCAGAAATGGCATTAGTCACTGTTATCTGATCATTAAGAGGAAAAACCACAGGGATTGTGGTTTCAAATTACTGTTGCTTCACATGGTAATAATTATGAATATGTTGTCTCACTAATGTTTGGTATGCATAGAGATGTTTCATTCTGTAGAAGTAATACTACATTTTCCTATAAGCTAAATATGTGTCTTTGTCATTATCAGTAAGCGAAATACATTTGAACACTATTGTGGTACATCAAACCTAGTAATATATATTTTTTTATTATTTTGAGGCAAATTAAAAATGTATAAAATTAAGTAATTGAATATTTTTAATTTAAATTATAATAATGCGTTAGATTTAAAAATCTAAGGCTGATGACACATAGGTGATTTTTTTTCACAGTCACTGATTGCAGCAACAAATTGCTAATGCCAGAAAATAACAGACTTGTAGCTAGCGTTTTAATCACTAGAGTTGCTGCCAATTTGCGGCAGCATTGGATTGTGCTTTGTTACAAATTGGTCTCCTTCAGCAATTTGTAGCTAACCATAGCGACTGCTGTAACATTTCATAGAAAAGTAGTTGTAAAGGCTTAAGGATTTTTTTACCTTTTTTACATTTATGCATTGTAATACGTCACCTGGCACATGTGCACTGGTGCGTCCCTTGGGGCACGCAGCACACCACTCCTGTGATTATGGTTCCTGGAACCCAGCCAATCTCAGTGGCCTGGGGGATCATGCGATCGCCATGCGATCACATGATCACATTGTGCACACAACTGTCATGAATGATTTTCATTCATAACAGCTGTGCTTTCTGCAGTGATGCTGTGATTGCCCCACACTATCACATGGTACCTTTTTTTTTACATAATGTCATTAGCTAGTACCTCTGATCACTGAAACACCAGTCATATGATGACACTGTACTGCACTGGTGACAGTATGTAAAAAATATTGTGAAAAAAAACCATTTTGTTTAATTTCTTCATTTTCCAAACAATTGTGACAAAGAAAATTACAACTTCAAAAACCTCACCATGCCTCCTACTAAATACTTCAGACTGTCTACTTTCCAAGAAGAGGTAATTTAGGGGGTATTTAAACTGTCCTGGAAATTTAAGAGCCTCAAGACATGAGTCAGTACATCAGGAGTGATCAATTTTCAAAATATATATATTATATATACAGTGCTCAGCATAAATGAGTACACCCCTTATGAAAAGTAAGATTTTCTTCAATTTCTCAATGAACACAAGAACAATTTCCAAAATTTTGACAAAATTGAGCTTTAAAGAACATTTGTTTAGCTCATTACATGAAAAGTAATGTTAATAATAAAACTTAGATTACAAAATCTTCAGTTTAACTCAAATTAGTTGATGCAAAAATGAATACACCCCCAAAACAAAACCTACTACATCTAGTATTTTGTATGAGCTCCATGGTTTGTATGGACAGCACCAAGTCTTCTAGGCATGGAATGGACAAGTTGGAAACATATTGAAACATCTATCTTTTAGAGCCTGGATGCTGGATGATAAGTGATGCTCAACCTGTCTCTTCAGAATTCCCCATAGGTGTTCGACTGGTTTCAGCTTAGGAAACATACTTGGCCACTGAATCACTTTCACCCTGTTCTTCTTCAGAAATGCAACAGTGGCCTTAGATGTGTGTCTTGGATCATTGTCATGTGGGAAAAGTGTAGATGACCAAGGGCATGGAGTGATGGTAGCACATTCTCTTTCACTATAGAGCAATAGATCTATGAATTCATGATGCCATCAATGAAATGCAGCTCCCTGACACCAGCAACACTCATGCAGCCCCACAAAGGGACACTGTCACTACCATGTTTCACTGTAGGCACTATGCATTTTTCTTTGTACTCCTCACCTTTGTGACATCATACAATTTTGAAGCCATCAGTTCCAAAAACATTTATCTTGGTCTCATCACTCTAGAGTACAGAGTCCTCATAGTCTTCTTCTTTTTCAGCATGGGCCCTGGCAGATTCTAGGCAGGCTTTTTTGTGCATGGGATTTAGGAGAGGCTTCTTTTGTGGATGACACCCATGCATGCCATTCTTCTGTAGTGTACGCGGTATTGTGTCACGGCAAACAATCACCCCAGTTACTTCTTTATCTAATTGCAATGAACTTGCATGGTGATTTTCTTCAACCCTTCTCATTAGAAGCACTCCTGTCGAGGTGTTAACTTCTGTGGACAGCCTGGATGTCTCAGTGAGATGGTTGCAGTTCCATCTTTGTTAAATTTTTGTTATCAGTTTTGCTACAGTATTCTGATTGATAAGTAAAGCTTTGCTTATCTTCCTGTAGCCTTCACCTTTCTTGTGTAAGGAAACTATTTTGTTCTCAAGCCTTGTGGCATTTCTCCTCCATGTGCTGACAGCATGAAATGAGGAGGGGTTTTCTTTGTTAAGAAATGCCCTTCTATAATCAACTGTCGGCTGAACACCTGTTTAATGAATCATTAGACTTACCTGTAATTGAATTATTGTTAATTAAGATATGTTGCCTAAAATGTAGCTTTACTTCTAAGACTTTCATTGGGGTGTATTCATTTTTGCAACATGGTCTTGAATAAACTTGTTTGGAAAAATACGTATTTGTGAGTGCAAATGAGCAAATCTTGTTTGCAATCAATGGCCCGCATTTGTGGGAGTATTATGTAGTATAGTGTCCCAAAAAAAAATTGATTCGGAAAGGAAAGGAAAGGTTTTCTGACAAATCTGTTGG